CCCCAAACAAAAAAAAAAGGCTTATTCTCTAGAGGTATGACCCTGGCCCGGAGTGAGATGTCTCGGGTTCTGTACTCATCGAAGCCTTGATGTGATCTATGATGAGCAATGGATTCCAACTAGGTGGCTACAAGGTAGCAACATTTCATATATGAATAGGCATTGCTTATCCTAAACTGGTATCTTGTGCAGCCAGACTTACAGGTGAGGAGCTATTGGGGAAAATATTGAGATTGCAAAGAGGCCTCAGACCTCGCTGTTGAAACCAGCATAGCAATCCATTGGTTGCTACCAACACCAAGAGTATCCAAGAAGGGACTATTACTCTGGCTGAGGGAAAAATCTGGAGCAAAAGCTTCCAAAGAAGCCTAGATAAAATGCTCTTCAAACTACATCCTTTCAGCTCATTTCAGAACCTCTATCCGGGCGATGGGGTTTTTTCTTTTCTTTTTAAAGAAAAAGCAAAACCCACATGGCCTTATGGCATTAGATCAGTGGTTCATCGAGTTCGGTATGCTGTCTGTAACAGGGATCAGTACCAGCTGCACTGGTGCAAGGTACAAGAAACCACATAGGTTATGATACGTGCAGGGGAAGTCTCCTCCAACCTCCCATTGGAGGTTGGCTTATGATTGAGACTTAAGTGTTTTATAGCCTTTCCCAAATCAGGAAATAACCAGAGGTCAAAAGCTTCTTCGTGATAATGGAAATAATGTCCTGGGTAGAGAAGAATGTGCTGCTTTTCAAGACAGTTCACATAAAGGGTACGGAAAAGAAAGAGAGAGAGTGAGTTGTAGTGGTCCTCCTACAGCAGGCACTTTGGACTTGCTAGGTACCCAAAGACCCCACATTATATCTACAAAGAACACCAGACCCCTTGAAGCAGGGACTCCTTCAGTCAGACTGGGAACATCTACAGTTAACAACCTGGGCATCAGAAGAGAAGTGTAGTTTAGAATTAACCTCTGATACAGTTGAAATTCCAACAAAACTCAGGGTATATCATCATTGGTTTAGTCAAATTTACTTTCCTGGTGTGAGGGGAAACAAAAAGCTCTTTTGAGGCAAAGATTGCCTCTTTGTGCAGTCCCCAGCACACTGGGTCCCTGACCTCTACATGATGATGTAATAGAAATGCAATAATAATCCCAAATTTCTGATGTGATTTCAGGTACACTAGAGTTTCTTCAGGAGGCTTGGTTGGAGTCCTACAACCAAGCATGGTAAAAATGTGGGTTACAGCCATAACAATATTTTGTCATCAAGTATTTGGAGTATCAGGTGCCACATTTAATCATAGTGACAAATTAGACAAGCTTGCAGTTGGCCTTGCTAGTCATGCCACCTGTGAAAGGCAAGTTTTGGAATTAGTTCCCATGTCCATACAAGAACCACACTGCCTTTGTCATGAGGGAAGGATTATGCTTATAGCTCCAGAAACCTTTCAGTTCAAGATAAGTTCCCTTTTCCACAATTTCTGGGAAATAGTTCTCCCACCATTTTGTTCTAACATGTGGAAGGTGTGGCATCAATGGGCATTCCTTGAGTGCTAAGGATCTATCTCAAGCATCTGAAGTACATATGTACCTTTTCATCTCATTCTGTCCAAAATGCCAAGGCCTCACAGTTTCAAGTTTGTTGCAAGCAGGAGGTAAAAATGGGGGGAACTTCTGTCTAAATTACTCTGTCATAATAATGAAACTTTGCTTATTCTTTCCCTCCCTACCTCTGGGATACACTGCTTATTACTTCCCAGGAGTAATTAAAGAGCAGAGAAGCTTTGCAACAGAATGATCAATTTCTTACCTGATGATTTATTTTATTTTTAGCAACTTTTCTCTGTATTCCATCCACCCCGGTAGTCTGGTAAATGATCAGAATATAAATTGAAATTTTTCTCTGAAGGGAGACTTAGACTTAGACAATTTGCATCAGGTTGCCTTAATACTAATAATTGGTTGCTGGAGTATTTCTACAGCTGTTGGAATTTTTTTGGGGTGGCCTGAGATGAAAGACAGAGCTTAGTACTGGATCCTCCAGCTACAACACCGGACCGTTTCTGAATTCCACAGGTGGAGAGCCCATTAGTAATTAACTCAGAATTTCTCTTTTACTGCTTTTCACCATCCAAAATGTTATAGTTGAGAGGAAGATACAAATAAACCAAAATGTATAGCATTTTTTAGCATTTCAAACTTCTCTTTAGGAAAAGATTGCACAGGCCACACAAATCTGCCCGCAACGGATAGAAGTCAACAGAACTGTCAAGAGTCTTGACACAGAAATGAATCGCTTAAGAGACAAGATAAATTCAAAAAGAGATCATCATGGAAACAGAGAAGAAATAATAAAGTAAACAATGGCTACATATTTTGGGGTGGGGGGCAGAATGGTTGCTTCATTGGCATAGTAGCTTAATTTTATTTTAATTATCTCAACTTTTTTTTAACAAGTCTGATTAATGGTGGCGGGTGCTTTTCTTGAAATGAGTAGTCATAGCCTTAAATATATTTGGCTGCTCATTGCATTCTTTCTGTAGCACCCAAATGTGATGCTGTGTGCTCCAGAGAAACTGAGTAAGACATGGTCCCTACCATAAACAGTTCACAATTTCTATTTTTATATATAATGTGACAAAAATAGGAAGAGTGGAGTAAGGAACCTCTGTCCAGCTATGTCTGTTGCTCTGGCATTAGGATGCTGGCCACCTCACTTCGCATGGCATTTTTTCTAAGGCAGGATCCATCATACTCATCAAAGTAAGTGGTGCCAGATGCTGTGGGTATTTGCATTTTTGGAGTTAGGGAATTCATAGTTTTAAAGCCAAAAGGACCAGGATGATTATCTAGGCCAGTGGTTCTCAAACTTATTTTATTGTCCCTCCCCCCCCACTTAGTGTCTGTAGTTGTTGGCGCACCGCCTCTGCTCCTCCCCCCCCGAGTACATATATCACAACCCAGCTCTGAAGGCAGAGTAGAGAGCAGCGGCTGTTGTCTGGGCGCCCAGCTCTGAAGGCAGCGCTGCACCAGCACAGAAGTAAGGACGGCAATATGAAAAGTGATATTTGTCCATATTACTTTTCACAACAGACTTAGCACTCCGTTGCCACTCTTACTTCTACACTACTACTGCCACCCCAGGGCTGATAGCTGGACCCCTGCTGTTTCCTGGTGAGCAGTTTGGGGGGCCTCCCGCTGTTCCCTGTATCCCTGTCTCCTGGGTGTGCATGGCCCTTCTGCACATGCCCCAGCCACCTGGGGCTGACAGCCAGAGTTCTTAAATAAATAAAGGCACATAGCTCGCACTTCCCTTGACGCATTCCCATGCCTCCTTTGTGAGATCCACCCCATAGTTAGAGAATCGTTGATCTAGTCTGATCTCTTGCATGACACTGAACTTTGCTCTGTAATTCTTAAGCCAAGTCCAAAAATTTGTATGGAACTAGAGCTGCCTTTTAGAAAAAGAAATCTAGTCTTGATTTAATAGATTCTAAGGCTAGAAGTTACCATTGTGATCATCTAGTCTGACTGCCTGTATAACACAGGCCATAGGACTTCCCCAAAATAATTCCTAGAGCATATTTTTTAGAAAAACATCCAGACTTGATTTAAAAATTGTCAGTGATGGAGAATTGACCTTGGCCATTGATAAATTGTTTGAAGGTTAATTGCTCTCATAGTTAAAAATTTGTCTTATTTCCAGTCTAAATTTGTCTAGCTTCAGCTTCCAGACATTGGAGCATGTTACATCTGTCTCTCCTAGATTGAAGAGCCAATTATTAAATATTTGTTCCCCATGTAGTTACTTTTAGACTATAATCAAGTAATCTGTTAATCTTCTCTTTGTTAAGCTAAATAGATTGAACTCGAGTCTTTAATCATTCTCATTCTTTAAATCTTCTCCAATTTATCAATATCCTTTGTGAATTGTGGGCACCAAAAGTGCACACAGTATTCCAGCAATGGTCACAGAAGTGCCAAATACAGAGGTAAAATAACCTCTCTACTCCTACTCAAGATTCCGCTGTTCATGCATCCTAGGATTGCATTAGTTCTTTTCGCCAAAGCATCACATTTGGAGCTCATCTTCAGCCAATTATCCACCATGACCCCCAAATCTTTTTTAGTCACTCCTTCCCAGGATCAAGTTCCCCATCCTGTAAGTATGGTCTACATTATTTTGTTCCAGATGTATACATTTACATTTAATCATATGAAAACTCATATTGTTTGCTTGTGCCCAGTTTAACAATCAATCCACCTTGATCTGAATCAGTGCCCTGTCCCCTCCATTTTGTGTCAGCTTCAAAATTTATCAGTTGTGATTTTTTTTCTTTCACATCATTGATAAAGATGTTAAATAGCATAGGTCCAAGAATTGAGCCCTGCGGGGCCCCACTGGAAATACACGTACTTGATGACAATTCCCCATTTACAGTTACATTTTGAGACCAGTTAGCCAGTCTTTAATCCTTTTTTGTGTGCCATGTTGTTTTTATATCGTTCTAGTTTTTAATCAAAATATTGTGTTGCACCAAGTCAAATGTCTTACAGAAGTCTAAGTATATTACGTTAACACTATTACCTTTATCAACAAAACTTGTAGTCTGACAGGATCTATTTTCCATAAACCCTTGTTTATTTTCATTTATTTACATTACCCTCCTTTAGTTCATTATCAAGTACCATATCCGCTGGTTTCATTATCTTGCCTGGGATTGATGTCAGGCTGACAGACTTATAATTATCTGGGCCTTCCAGTTTACCCTTTTTAAAAATTGGCATGTTCACTTCCTTCTAGTCTTCTGGAACTTCCTTCGTGCTCCAAGACTTACTTGAAATCAACATTGATGGTTCAGTGAGCTTCTCAGCCAGCTTTTTAAAAAAATTATTGAATGCAGGTTATCTTGATCTGCTGATTAAAAATGTCTAAGTTTGGTAGCTTATATTTAACATTCTCCAGAGATCCTAGTGTAATGGAGTATTATCACCATGTGGTGAGTCTTCATGATGTGTTTTTGTTTTTACCCAAATACAAATATATTTATAAATAAATTAAATAAAATACCTTTTGTGCATTATTATTGATAATTCTACCATTTCCATCTAGCAGTGGACCAGTACCATTTCAGGATTCTTTTTGTTCATAGTTGAGCTCTGGTCAAGTGAAAAATTCTCTTAGTTAGGAAAAAAACAACTCCTCCTTATTGTCCTTAACTTCATTGGCCCTAGATTTCTCCTTGTATCCCTTGGCTTCCTTTATCAACTATGTACAGTTCCTAACTTCATTTATAATCACTACTATCAACTTCCCTTTCTTCTGTTTTTTATATATTATTTTTTTACTGCTGCCTTCACTTACCCTCTAAACAAAGTTGGTTTTTAACTAGTTCAGCCTCCTTCCTCAATGGTGGGATTGTGGGTTTTGGGGCATTTAGTAGGGTGTTCTTAAATGATTTTCAATTATCATTCACACACTTCTGATTAAATTCTTCCTCCCAGCTGGTTTGGCTCACAATTGTTTACATCTTTCTGAAATTGGCCCTACTAAAGCTCTGTCTGTCTGTCTGTCTGTCTGTCTGTCTGTCTCTCTCTCTCTCTCTCTCTCTCTAAATAATTTATTTTACTGGTCTAGACTTTTTTCTGCTTGTGCATTATAAATGTCATCAAGCCATGATTAATTGTAGCTAAGTTACCATTAACTTTTAGTTCTGTCATCAGTTCCACTTTATCCGTAGAACAAGGTCTAATATAGAATTCCACTGTGTTGGCTACAACACTTTTTGAGTTAGGAAATTGTCATCTATACATTTAGAAATTCCAAGTATATTTTGGTATGGGCAGCATGAGACCTCCAGCATGTATGATTCATATTGAAGATACCCGTGATCAGAGTTTTTTCCTGCACATTGTAGAGAGGTGCATAAGGAAGCAGTCATCCTGTTCTGTGTCATGATTTGGTAGTCTGTAGCACACACCAACTACTGCCTCACCTTGTGCTTTATCTGTTAGGACATTGATCTATAAGTGACTTGGAATTGGGTAATGCCATTTCTTTATCTGTTAGGACACTGATCTATAAATGATTTGGAAATGGGTAATGCCATTTTTGCGGGAGAGTACTACTCGCCCTCCCCTTTTTGCCCATTTGCTCCTTCCTAAATAGGTTATGACCATTGATTTTAACATTCCAGTTGTGCAAATAAACCCCCCAGGTTTCATTAATACCAACTAGATTGAATTTATGCTCCTAAATAAGCAATTCCAATTCCTCCTTTTTTGTTACCATGTCTTTCGGCATTAGTGTGTAGGCAATTCAGTAATTTCTTCTCTTCGTGCCCTTTGGTTCCTTAATTAATCAACGTCCTGATTTTTGTGCTAACTGATTACTTATCTCTTCCCTCTTTTTATCCTCCCCTTTTGCTATTAGTTTAACCCCCTCTTGACTACTCTAGTCAGCCTAGTGTAGTCAGAGATTGGTCTACCTTCTACTGAGGTGAAGACCATGTAAACTATATAGTTTAGAAGGTGGACAAATCTTCCTCAAAATCAAAGCCCAACACCGTTTACCTAGCCAGCAATTCACTTCCAGAATCTTCTGCCTCCTGTCTTCCTTTGCTCGTGGGACAGGAAGGATTTCAGAGAAGATTGCTTGGATATTTTTGTTCTTCAGCACACTTCTGAGTTTCCTGAAGTCATCTGCTGTCTGCGAGAGATCTCACAACGCAGTGTCAGTAGTGCCAATATAAATCATTACCAGTGGATCCTTGCCCGTAGATTTCAGAAGCCTATCCAGTCTTAGAGTGACATCTTGTGTCCTGACTCTGGGAAGGCAGCTCAGTGTCCTTTTGTCTGCCTGTCCATTGCCAAATGTTCTTTTGATTCTTCTGAGTATTGACTCTGAAGACTCATCTAAATTAACAGTCTCTCTCTCCTATTTGGGGAAAAATTGGATAAGATAGTGGCAGAAAGTGCTGCCAAACTGAAACAGTCCCTCCCCTCTCTATGCAATCCTCTGAACAGTGACTAGAAACCCAGCAAGAAACAGAAGTGCTCCTTTCATCCATCCTCACAAAAGTACCAGAAGAAAGACAACAGGTATATCAGGAAAACCCTGGAACCAGGGTTTGGGTGGAAAATCCAGAGGAAGTCCCACTGCCTGTAAGAACCCACTATGACAAGGAACAAATGCATGTCTGTCCAGATCCTATTTCTCAGAAGAATGGTACATATCAACCACAGGCGAGTGGGTGAGAGGGGTAGTGAGTTACAGATAAGTCCCTTGTACTAAAGGCCTCATCCCATCCCTTCACCCAATCCCCAGCAGCCCCATCTAATATGAACTGGCGTTGATGACATTTTGTATCTCCTGAACGTAGGAGTTCCTTCAGGAGCAAGGTTCTCAGGTTTCTATTCTATTTTCTTCATTGTCCAGAATGCACTGGGGGAGGAGGAGTCAGAGCCATGCTGGACCTCAGTGGCTCAACAAATAGATGAAGAAAACGAGTTTCAAGATGGAGACCCTAGCTTCAACAGTGGCATCCCTGTCCCAGTGGGACTTTCTCACTTTTGTGGACCTAGAAGATGGAGATCTTCACATTCCCATATGCTCATGCCACCGCAGACTGCTAAAAGTTGCATATGGTATGGCTTACTTCCAGTACCGAACTCTTCTAGTTGGTCTCTCATCAGCCCTCACAGTGTTTACAAAGATGCTTGTGGTTGTAACAGCCAGACTCAGGTTTCAGAGCACTCATCTGTATCCCTTGGATAACATCTTGATCAGAGCTCCGACCCAAGCTGCAGAACATAGTGCCACAGTTTGGACTCTGGAGCTTCTCCAAGTGCATGGCTTTAAACACCAATAAAAATGTTGCCCCCCCCCCCCCCCCCGACAAAGATAATTCAGCTAGAAGTGGAAATGGACACTTCTTCAGCAAAGGTCTACCCATCACTGGATGTATTCCAAGAGATCCAGTATGTGGTATCTATGCTGGTCAAGTGTATAGGCCAACCATAACACATTGTCTCCAAATATTGGGTCTCTTGATATCATGTATAGAGATCACCCCATGGACAGGGTCTCTTTATAAGGGGTCTCCAGGCCTTTGTACTGAAAGTATGGAACCATTGGAACACATGCAGGATCAGGTCCTGAACTAGGTACTGGATTCTCTAAGATGATGGGCAATCCCAGAGAATTTCCCTAGGGGTCTTCTCGTATGCCTTCTAGACTCACAGGAACTCTCAACCAATGCCAGCCTGATAGGATGGGGAGCACGCATCTGAGCCACAGAACAACACAAGATGCCTCAGACTCCTGGGAAAGGAACCAGAGAGTCAAACTAGCTCTGCTAATGTTCCAGAGGGTGACCATGTTCTGATCCAATTGGACAGTACAAACTTCTATGGCTTATCTCAACAACCAGGGAGAGAAAGGAGTTCAGTTTTACATGCAGAAAAAATATCAGTATTGGAATGGGTAGAGAGGACCCTTCCTGCCGTAAGAGCGATACACATAAAAGGAGAACTGAACCAAAAGATGGACTGGCTCAGCAGACAGTCATCAACTTAGAATGGTGCCTAAATCAGAAAGTCTTCACTCTGATCTTGCAGATGTTTGGCCTCGCTTCAGTCAACCTGCATCTGACAAAGTGGGTATTCACTTATGAAAGCTTATGCTCCAATACATTTGTTAGTCTACAAGGTGCCACAGGACTCTTTGTTGCTTTTTACAGATCCAGACTAACATGGCTACCCCTCTGATACTTCAGTCAACCTGTTTGCCAATCACAAGAACCCAAAGCAGGGTTCTTCACCAGGGAAACAGATCCAGTGTCCATTGGGACAGATGGTCTTTCACATAGATGTGGCCACAAGGCCTGCTATATTCATTCATGCCCTTTCCACATCTAGGAAAGGTGATCCAGGAGATAAAGGCACAAAGATGACAATGCCAACTTCACAACAGCAAAGGAGACCATGTTTCTCCGATCAAAATCTGATTGAATTTGGGACCACCATTGCAGCTACTAATGAGAACACAGACATCCTTCGCCAAAGCCGATTCCTCCAACCAGACCCAGGCCATCTATACAACTGATAGTCTGGCTATTGAGAGGGAAGTGTTGGTCTATCTTTCAAAGTGATCAGAACTCTGCTCTCCTCCAGAAGAGCTTCCACATTAAAGGCTTACTCCTCATCTGGAGCAGGTTGCATGATATCAAGAATGCCAAGGATCCTAGTACTCCTGTTATTCAGGACTTTCTTGAAGAGAAGGGACTTCAGCCCAGCACTGTAGCACTTCAGGTGTCAGCCATAAGTAGCATACTGTTTGTAGGATCCTCTGTTTCCCTGGTGGATAATCCTCAGGTATCCAGATTCCTCAGAGCAAAACCAGTATTCCCTAAGTGGGATTTACCCCTGGTATTGAAAGCCTTAACTACTCACCCTTTTGAACCACTGACATAAATATCTGCCTTCTATCTGTCCATCAAAACCTGTTTTGTGGTGGCCATGATGTCTGCTAGACAAGTTTCTGAACTGGTAGCTTATCCATGCAGGAACCCCACTGTGGGTTCCACGATGACCAGGTGGTGTTAAGAACTACAGAATTGTTCTTGCCTAAGGTGAATTCATCTTTCCATGCCTCACAAGAGATCATCCTTACTTCATTCGGTCCAAAGCCACAGCACCAGAGTGTAAAGCTGTGGTGTGCCATAGATGTTCGAAGAGCACTAAAGATCTATGTCAAGGGCACAGAATGAACAAGGTTCCTTGTTTGTCTTTCATCTGAAGTGCCAAGGGCTCAGAGTTTCCAAACTATCCCTGGTTAGATGGATCAAGCTCTGTATTTTAGAGGCATACATGGCGTGAGAGGGGCTTCTATTCCAGATGGAATCAAGGCACATTCCACAAGATCTGTGGCAACCTCATGGGCCAAAAAAGTTGTGCTTCCACCACAGAGATCTGCAGGACAGCAACATAGTCTCAGGCTAACATCTTTTAGGCACTATAAAGTAGATTTTCTGTTCTCAGCAGAGGCCTCCTGTGGTGAGAAGGTGCTGCAGGTGGTGGTTCACTAACAGTATTGCCGTTTAAGCAATCAACAGTGCTGTTCCCTGTCCCGTTTTTTTTTCTCCATCCATCCCCACTTCTGTTCACTGCTGGCTACTTCCTCTGTATATCAGAATTGTGGGAGACATGGGGCTGCAGAATGGTAAATTTCTTACCTGATAATTCCTTTCTGCTAGCAACGTCTCCCCCAATTCTACCCTCCTTGGATGTCTTAATGGCCAAGGGACAAAATTGTATTTTGATCATTACTGTTGTAGACTGTAGCCTGCCGTACACAATTAACTGGCTGGCTCTGAAGTTATTGTTACTAATCACATTCTGAGTTTTTACTTTGAAATGACTCATCTGGCAGCAAACCAGAGAAAGGGGCCTGTCTAGCATAAGATGTGCTACTGCTTTGTAGCTTTCAGCTCTGGAAACTGAAGACAAGAGGGGAATAGACCATATATATCAGAATGTAAGGGAAGTAGAAGAGAGGGAAACAGCCCATACATATCAGAATTGTGTGAGACACTGCTAGCAGAAAAGAAAGTACAGTAAAAGATCTTTTATCTGGCACTTTACCAACCGGCAAGCTCTATAAACTGACATTTCTGATCTGCACTGAAAGTCTGGTTTATAGTGCGGTTGGTGTGGGGCCGGCAGGGGGCTGGGGCATAGGAGGGGTTCGAGGTGCCGGATGGTGGGGGAGTGCTCACCTCAGGCAGCTCCCCATCCCTGCTATTGCTGGAGAGGCGCGGCCAGGCGGCTCTGCAGGCACGCTGTCTCTGTTTCCCCCCTCCCTCCCCCCCCCAACCACACGACTCCATGGCTCCTATCCCAGCCCATTGGCTGGGAACCGTGGCCAATGGGAGCTGTGGGGGGCAGTTCCTGCAGATGGAGGCAGCGTTCCTGCTTGCAGAGGTGCCTGGCCACACCTCCACCAGGAGCAGCAGAGACGGAGAGCCTCCAGATGTGAGCGCCCCCCCCCCATATGGCACCCCAAGTCCCCGCCCTAAGCCGCCTCCTGGACTCAAACTTCCTCCCAGAGCATGCCCCACAGCCCCTCCCATCCCCTTCCCTTCTAAACCCCTCCCTCTGAGTTAACCGGCATTTTTAATTTACCGGCACTCCCGTTCCCCCAGTATGCTGGTTAAAAAAGCTTTTACTGTATCATCTAAGAAACTTACCTTTCCTTTTCTTCCCCCAACAAATAACAATAATCTTTCTTTTATTAATAATGATTTCCCCTTTCCCTGTGAAAATTCAGCTTATGTACCCACATGATGTTAGTTTTAGAGTGATGGTTTAATAGATTGTAAGCATATGTTTGTTTGTTTTTTTTGTTTTCTGAAAAGAGAATTTTGGTTGTCAGCCTGGTTTTAAATTAAACATCAAGAATTTACTTGGGTCTTAACAGCATCTTTTGTGTTCAACTAAATATTTATGAAAATCTTTTTGCTGATAAAACAGGCAGCTTATTGAAGCAAAGGACAAATATCAAGATGCAGAAGGTAAAGTGAAGAATTTGAAGAAGTTTATTAAATTGCTGGATCAAATAATGACACAGAGATACAAAATGTATCAACAGTTTAGAAGGTTAGTGTGATCTTCATTGTAGTGTTAGTGGTTCAAATACCTGTGATGGGGCAGATTAAAAATATTTGTCATAAAATTCTATCGATTGGGGAAATTTAGGCATTTCCCAGGGTCACTCAGAAGCAATTTCTGTATTCAACTTGCATATACTTCTGTACACTTCCTGTGTTTCAACAAGATGTGTTATCCACATGGATTCCACAACCTGCCCTCCTTCCCTGCTTCTATGAAGACCTACTTCTCTGGAATTCTGTATTGTGAGGGAACTGAGGGACAGATGGGTCTGCTCTGTCCTTTATTCCCTGGGGTGAGAGCATTTAGTATGGGGTGCATGCACACCAAGAGTGAAGTTCATGTGAACAACACATCTCAAAGAACCACACTTACTGTAAGGTAAATAACTGTTCTTTCTTGAAATTGAATTGTGTGGAGCTTTTGTAGAGGGGGGGAGATAATATAACAAAAACGCTGTAGATCCTTCCCCTTTCTACCTTTCCAGTGGTTTTGGGGTATTGGCTGTAGAGTAACAAGTTAACTGCAGTGTATAACTAAAGTTTAAATTATTGCTTTTTAAAAAATAGCTGAAGATGCTTTGCAGTAAATACCTACTTGGTGCGTTTTTTGAGGTCTAAGGAAGTGGATCTAACTTTTCTAATATATGTTATGGTAGAGCAATTGAGACATCACAGCTAAGGCTGCATTCTGTTGTGCTCTTAAAATGGGAGTTCAACCTCAAAGACAGTGCATCTGTCCCAATTTTTAGTATATAATTTCTGACTAAAGCTTGCATTTTGTGAGGATTTTCAAGAAAATCAGTTAATTTTGTCCCCAAAATAAATTCACATTCTCAATCTCAATTTTTTGTTTCAAAATGACAAATTACAGAAAGTCAAAAAAAATGTACCTTTTTGGTTTTGTTGGACTCTCTAGAGTTGTTAAAATATTTTGTAAATTAACAACAACAACAAAAATTAGTGGTCTTTGTCATAATTGAATCCTTCTGCACAACAGTTGGCCGGGGGAGATGAAGATTTATAATTATCATGTAGCTGCTGGTTTCTCAAAGAAAGGACCTCTTGTGACACACTTATGGCTGAACAGTTTTCACGATGACCAGGATCCTCTGTGCAATAGCTATTGATTTATTGAAAACTAAGAGCTCCATAAAACTGCTGCAGCCTCTTTGATAAAGCAGTTGATACTGCATCAAGGATCTTGTTCTTTGTGAAATCATTCAGCCAGCACAGGAGCCCCTGGGCTTCATGAAAGCAACCACTACCAATCTCAAAGATCCTGTTCTTTGTCAAACTGTTCAGCTGGCTTAAAAGTTCCTCTGCTGAACCAACAGGAGAGTTTCACAGAAAATGGGATCTATGACAAAGCAACAGGAACTTTGACAAATACTAGGCTCTTCATGAAAGTGCCTTTCTGGCTCAGGAGCAGATATTGTTGTTCATGAAAGTAGCCATTTCTGCATTGGAGAGCCTTTCTTAATCTAAAAAAGTGGGAAATTAATAACCAAAAGCACTATGGTGTGTGAGAGTTAAGGTTGTAGATTTTACATCCAATGCAAAACCACTAAAGCAAGCAAGGAAAAGTTAAGGCCTTTAACAGTTCGTACTTTCTACTCCTCTATCCACACTTCACAACTAAAATAACCACCTTACCACACAAAGCATCACAACTTCAACTGTGCCGCAATAGAAATGCCAACATTCCAACAAACCCTTCTCCAAACATTGAATGAATGTGTTCTCCCTCACAACCTCCTCCTCCCCCCCAGAACTGTGAATAATGGATAGTAGTGGGGGTAAGTCTGGGAAATTGGTGATAGATGGCTACCATCCATACTAAAGTAAAATTTAATTGTTGAGTGTTTTAGTAATGGGGTGTATGTGTGTCTGGACGGAGGAGTATGTACTTTTAGATGTTTTGATTAATTTCCTTGCTTTTGTGGTTCTATTAGGTATGTTATGTATGCAACCTTAACACATAGAACAAAGGAATTGTGTGTATGTATTATATTATTAAAATGAAGCAGTAATTAAATATTAATTAAGATTCCACTCTTTCATTTCTGTTGTGGGATCTTTGACTCTAAATCTGTTCACCTTTTTATGTATATTATTTTTAAAGATCACTGATCTGGTGTTTATTTGCATAATTTATCCAAAAAGGTGCCTTACTTTACGATGCAAGTTCTATTTTAACTTCTTATTATGTCAGCGATCTTACTCTGGAAAAATGAGTTTTGACCACAAGAATGAAACACTTTCAATAACAGTAAGTCACTTTGTATTTTCTTTATTAATACCTTACCAAAAGTTATGTTTGATGTTAAACTTTGGAATTTTTAACCCTTCAGAAATTCTGTTCAGGTATCTTTTTGTATTTCAGTTACTTGGCATTTACTAATGCAGATTTTTGCATGAAAACAAAATATCTGGTTTCTGTCAACTTACTTTACTATTTTCTGTTCTCCATCTGAAGTCATACAGTATAATCTTCTGATATTACAATTAGTGTGAATTGATTATCCTGTAAGAGGATGCAGGTGCAGAAAAAAACAAGATGAGCAGATGAGCTGTTACAGGAATAGATATCTAAATGTAAATTTAAAATGTGAAGATGTAGTAAATGTATAATTGGTCAGCATTGTTCCAGACTTACAGTCCAACTTTTCAAACGGTGATTAGGAAAATGAAAACAAGAGAAGTCATGGTATATTACAGCAGTGTCCAGTAAATTTTACCTGATATTTACAATTAGTAATTTGTCATTTGATGTCATCCCACCTTAGTGTGGTTAGTTTCTCTAACTAGACTTGCACAATTTTTCAGACCCTTTAACAGGTGAAGACCAATTATATATTTTTTAAAAAACCGATATAAATTACTTGTGATCAAAATGTTTTTCTTCAGATAGGAGAAGTATGGGATAAGGTACAAAACTTGCATAGCATTTCAAATTCTTGCAACATACAACACTATCTTTAACCAAAAGAAAAAAAAGGCAATTCATTATTTCTGCTGCTCAGATGCATCAAGCCCCTCTCTTGGGTCCCCTTGGTTTGATTCCTGTCCTGTTGACATATTGTGGAGAGTGATTCAACACCTATATTTGTCTTGAAAGGTAAAAAAAGGAAGAAACAAATTATGAAATACACTTTGTTTAAAGAATTTACCAGCAAACACATTTTATGTTTAACGGTATATTTTGTTACAATATCTTTTTTTTATTTTTTTCAAGCACTTCAGAATAAAATATATATATATATATATAGATACCACAAGGTGTCATTGTAATCCAAGGAACAAAGAACTGTTACCCTGTTTCATGTATTCATACAGAGGGGCTATTCCTTGTTAAAATACCAGTAGTGATATAGTTAGCTGCAGTTCTAGGATCGTTCGTGTTTGACAGAAACATAACTACACTGGGTGATGAGTTTAACAGTTATAAAAATAGGGAATTAAAGACATCATAGGCTGAGTTATTGGTTTAAATTAAATCTGTTCCATTTTTATTTGGGCAAAGCAGTGGGACAGTAGACTTGCAACTAACTCTTACAAAATTGTGTGTGATTTGAACTATTTTAGTTTCATTGAGATATACATATACACTGAAATATACAAACTTACTGTGTTGCTACATATATATTCATATTCATGTTCATGTTTAATATTTGTAAATTTAAATCTTGTATGAAAAGATTACAGTTGTGCTTCTTATGCAAGTATCTATCGTGATCTACTAATTAAATGAATGTCTTAACTTAATTCAAGGTCCAGCCTGGAGATATAAACAAAGCTGCTCTAAATGACATGAGATCTCTATCAGGAGGTGAACGTTCTTTCTCAACAGTTTGTTTCATTCTTTCTTTGTGGTCCATTGCTGAATCTCCTTTCAGATGCTTGGATGAATTTGATGTCTTCATGGTAAGTATAAATTTGAACTACGTCTTCCAGTTTTGCTGTATAAACTACCAAAGTAATTAAGTGGAGATCATTGGAAAGTTGAAAGACTATGGTAGAACCTACTAACATTTTCCCTCTATAATGCTAATTAGAGAATACAGTAACTTTACGCTCTGGTTTTCTAAGTTGGTAACCAGAAATAAGGCGCTTGTATGTGTAAATAAGTCTGACTACTTTAAAATATAAGTTGAGTTAATGAGTGAACTCAGAAATATAACTTCCACATAACTTGCTCTTCTGGATCTTAACATTTTCCCCAGTCCATAATTGTCTGCATAACATCGCTGAGTTTCCTCAGAGATCTGCTAAGAAAACTCTGGTCCTAGCTCATGCCCTCACTTCATCAGTGTACAGTTTTGCCTTCACAGTTAGAACAAGTATAGCAGTTTAGCTCAATGTTGCTTCTTGGAAACATGAAGTAGGTTTACGTCCCTCTCCACGCTTATGCACCAGAGTTCTTCCAAAGCTATTGAAACACAGATGAATTAGTATCAAAATACCAATACAAACTCATATCTTCTAACTCGATTTATAAAGAATTTATATAGGAAAACCCTATACAGCACCTTTCTATCAAAGAATGCCTTTGTGGAGATCAGGCAGTCCGCTTTGTAGTGTGTGTTCAACTTGTCAGTGGAGAACCAAGTGGTTGCCGTTCATATTTCCTCTGTTATAGCTGATAACCTCTCTGACCGGGATATGATCATGGATTATGTTGAGGATGGGCATTTATGGCTTCAGGACCTTGCATGATAGATACATTTTATGTGTTGGTTATACAATATATCATAAATCTGGACAGGGAGGATACAGATACTCTGCAATGTATGCACCTCAAACATAAATGCCAACTTCCTACCCGATTTGGGGTTTTGTGATATAATTCAGCTGTTCTTTGAACATTGTTCTTATGCCAGAGTCTCTCTTTGGACCCTTGAGAGTCCTAAAAACAAACAAACAAATCTAGAAAATTCCAGTGAGAAACTTTATTGAAAGAACTTTAAGGTTGCATGGTGAAGTGATCAGGACAGCAATAGGTAACAACACCACTGTGCATGTGCATTACAATACCGTGTTTAATTTCATGGTCATATTCTGGTTTTCAAATACAATATACATGCACATTTTTCTGCAACTTTGTATGGTCCATTTGTGTAATTGACAGCAAGGAGGCAGGTCTTTGTAGGAGTCTGTGCTTTGTTCATTGTGCATGTTGTATATAAGTGACTACCAAGCACTCTCAAGTGTATGCTGAGTGGTGCATGATAGCATAAGGAGCTATGCACGTATCCAAAGTAGTAGAAAAAGGTCTGATGTATTAAGATATAGTATGTGAGTGTGTAGTTGAAGGCTGTATCCTAGTACACATATGCAAAGGGATAGTGCTGATGACCAGCGCACAGACTCTGTTCACTTCCTGAATTTTAGTGCTTGACTGTAACCTTAATGTTCTCTTGATGTAGATTTTTTTTGATGGAATTTCAATGTACGTGTTTTAGTTAATTAGATAATTGTGTTAGCAAAATATCTCCAAACTTAATTTAGTTTTTGCAGGTGGTTATATTAATAGCTTGTCTGTACAGTAATGCAAGACAATAAACATATATTATAAATATCAGTAACTGGTCAATCCTCTGCTTTTAGGACATGGTTAATAGAAGAATTGCAATGGACATGATGCTCAAGATGGCAGATTCTCAACGTCATCGACAATTTATTTTGCTCACCCCACAGAGCATGAGGTAATCATTTTTCCTTAAACTTCCTAGCTCAAAAAGTGCACTAGAAATGTTAAATAGATATGTAAGAAAGAAGGCAATAGACGTTTTTCACAGTATATATGCCTAGAATATCAGCATCCAAAGCATTCTTAAATGGCCACCATGATGATTTGGGGATTTTAAGTAGTATTTGTTCACTTCCCTACCCCACTCTCCTTCAACGATTTCAAGCTTCAAGATACTATGGTCACTCTTATTTAGGGTACATCTTCACTATGAGATAGGGTGTGATTCCCAGCTCACATAGACATACACTAGCTCTCATCTTAGCCAGTACACTAAAACATAGCAGTGTAGCTGTGGTAGCATGGGTAGCGGCAGCAGTGACACTGTGCTAGCTGCCCCGAGTGCAAACCCTACTTGAATCCCATGGGTACGTAGCTGGAGCTGCCAGTCTGGGCTGGTGCTGCCTGTGCTACTACAGCTACACTGCTACTTTGGCATGCAAGCTCAGATGAGAGCTAGCACTAGTATGTCTACACAAGCTGGGAATCAGACCCCAAGCTTATAGTGTAGATGTTGCCTTAGTGTCTTCACTACACTAGCTCTCTGAACCATTTCCCGTGTTACTTAAAATTAATTCAAAGTAACCTCTCCTCTGTATGTTCCAGAACAAACTATTCCAAGGAGTAATTTGCTTAAGATATCAAACTTTCTCCAAACTGTTTTACTGTTACAGTAAACCATTTTATCTGGAGTAATCGTTCTCTATTGTTATCTCTTATTATTTTAGTAGATTTTGTTGCTTATCTCTTGCAACATGTTGACTTGTTCACTCATTCAGAAGCTGTTAATACACCCCTACTATTATTAATATTATGGACTGGATTTTGTAGCTACACATATTCTGTCCTTAGAAATTTTCATTTGATATCCAATGTAATTGTAGTATTCCTCCACCTTGGTGACCAGGTTTCTTCCCTATATTTACTCCTGGGGGAATTCTGTGCCACTGCGCAATGCAGAATTTTGCAGAAATTAACATGCACACAGAATTTCCTTTCCTCCACAGAAATGGACTGCAGTGCTGCTAGCCACCACTAGGGGCTGCTGGACCTGGCAGAGGCCAGCTCGCACATAGAAGATACTGCCGGGGGGAGGGAGCCAGAGGGTTCCTGGCAACTGCAGTTCCCAGCTATCTCTGAGGGAAGGAGAGGGCATCACACAGGAAACTCTGTGCAAGCCTGGCACTGAGCATCAGGCTGGTTCTCCCTCTGGATCCCTAGGCTCTGGGGGAGTGAAAGGGATGTCTGGGCCCGGGGGGGGGGGGGTGGGGCTGTGGCGT